CAGATGGAGGCTCCATAAAGGACCAGTCTCTCAGGGAATGACTTTTTCCCCTCACCAGCTTATCTGGTGTCAAATAGAGAAGCTAGCCAATTTGGTCACTGAAATAGAGCTTAGGAAATAAAACACCTGTTGCCTCCACTGTGCAAAACGTACCGTAGCCCTACAGGTATCAGGAGGAGCCCAATATGGAGCTGAGGCACCCCATACAGTTCCTACCAGAGCGTGGCAGATAGATTTTTGCATGGGGAGAATCTCCCACCCCAGCCTAAAAACACCAGCCAGACAAAATCCTTAAGTTTAGCGAAAATCCAGAGTTTGCTTTTCAGCACTCTGGTCTTGGTGAGCACCTTGGCCACCTGGCTCTATTGATGTGGAGACCCAGTACACAGCGTCTCAGCCAAACAATGCTGGAGAAAGTGACCCATTCACCAGTCACAGCTGTGTTTACCCACAGGGTGATTTTATATCCTACTTAGTGAAATGAATGTCATTATGAATCCACATTTGTCCTGACTATAAATGACTGAAATGTTCACAAAGCTATTGAAGCTGAATGAACCCTTGCCATCTCAATCAAGGGTGGGGATGGAGGAGACACAGCAGGAAGGCTACTTACCCCTGCTTTCTCCTGTGAGGTATGAAGGCAGCTACAGGAGGTCTCACCAAGCTGCCCTTCCTTGGCTCCAGTTAGACCCACCAGGGTATAAATTCTAGACGCTCACTTGATGAAAGTGTGATTTGGCAAGTTAAGAAATCCCTACTCTTAAAAATGGGCATAACAATCATAGGGCACAGGATAACGCGTCCCAACAATGTCTACGTCCTAATCTGGAACTTAGGAATGCATTAGGTTATTTAGCAAGGGGTTACTGAGGTTGCTAAGTAGCTCACCTGGAGATGGGAGAGCATCATGAATCATGTAGGTGGGCCATGTATAGTCACAAGGAGTTTTATAGGTGCAAGAAGAAGGAAGGTCCAGAGACAGAGGAGAAGGAAAATGCCATGCTGCTGCTTTGAAAATGAAGGAAGAGGCTATGGGAGAAGGAAATCAGGTAGACTCCGGGAGCTGGAAGAGAAGAGGAAGCAGATCCTTCCCAGAGCCCAGAAAGGACACTGTCCTGCTGATGCCTGGGAGACTCATACTGGACCATTCAGAACTGTAAGCCAATCTATTTGTCTTGTCTTGAGACTCCTTATTTGAGATAACTTCTCACAGTAGCCACTGATATTCGGTACCCATGGCACCCACTTGCAGGGCTGTGGGAAGATTACAGGGAACCATGCGTGGCAGTTTCTTGCACATTCCTTCCTACCATCCTTGCCAGGATGATTCTCCCCTCTTTAGTTCTCAATCCTAGACCTCTTGTCCTCCTCCATCACTAGGAGGCATCAGAAGCCGATATTCTTTGCCTCTGTCTCTGTCTCTGTCTCTGTCTCTCTCTTTGTTTCTGTTACGGTTGATACATTGTGTTAACTTGACGAGTCTAGAAGCTTAGCTAAGTGACTCAGCAGTTCTACATCCTGGGGTGAAAGGGACATGCCCTTCCTGCTCTAGAACGTTGTTCATTGTGTCAACTTGAGAAGTTTAGAAGGTAAACGATATGACTCAGCAGGCAGCCAGGGTTCTTACTTTGTGTTCATCCTGAGCCTGTACAAGAAGAAGGGATAGAGATGGTGTTGGTGTAGAAGACCACACCCCCAGGGTGGGTAAGCTGCATACAATAAATAAGGGAAATGAGGAAGGACTGACTGCTGGTTCTTTGGAGGAGCCCCAGTCTTCGGCTTCCACTTGAGACTCGTTAGCCTGCTGGTGTAGACTCTTCGGCCTTCATCGTAGATTCTTCAGCATTCAGTCATAGACCCATCAACCTCCTGATACGGATTTGCACAGACACTGCAGTGAGCTCCAGGCCTTGGAGGGTGGGCTCTTCAATCTCCAGAAAGCAGACAACCTCTGCACGTTTCCTCATCCAACTCTGTGGCTGACTATTACAAGTCAAACTTGTAATTTCTTGTACATTTGTATATCTTGTGTTATATCTGTTTCCCTATTAAACCCTGACTGATTCTCTCTCTCTCTTTCTTTCTTTCTGAGTGTGTGTGTTCATTTCCTATTCTCCAATCCAGAGGAGCCCAACAACCTGGTATACAGTCACCTTTGCTACATCCCACTGGGCTGCACCAGACTTGCCAGTGTAGGGACAGGAGAACAGAGCAGGCAGGCCAGCAAGGTGATGAAACTTGTGACCACTTGTAGTGGTCAGAGTACAGGGGAAACTCCTACCCATCACTAGACAAAGAGGGCTTTGTTATTGCTGGAAAACACACACACACAGAAATTGTCCCTCTTATAGGTTTGAGGAATGACAGACCTGGTGGAAAGATAAAAGTGAGTATCCTCTAAACTGAGGAGTGTGTGATATCTCCAAGAACATCATGACATGTAACGGATGGGTTTGGGATGAAGCCTGGTGCTTCTCATTTCACTTTAGTTCAACAAGCATTTATCCTTGACTAACAGCAAGGCTACAGAGCCATAAAAAATCTGGATGCATTGCAAGGTAATTAGAAAATAATTCAGGCCTTCACTCGAATCCCTCAGCAATGCTAACTGGATGAAAAAGCAGACTTTCTCCTTATCTGTAGGGTGATGGATGGCTTAGAGCTTCGAGCAGTTCTGTATCCCATACCCTGTAAACTTATATCACACACACACACACACACACACACATCATCTTAACAGCAGTTAAATGTGCTAGCAATTTTGTAAAATCCATTTATTTCATTCACCTCTTGAAAAATAATAGGAATCACCTGCAATGCTGAATTGTTCCATTTCAGACTTGAAACAGGCAGTATACTCAAATCTAGAATGACTCACAGTTGAACAAAATATGAAAACAAAATTCCTTACAGAGCTTGTTATAATAATGGGGGTCAAGTCATTTGGTGAGCTGTGATAAATGACCAACCAGGGAAAATGCCACTGGTGGCTGAGGGCTGGAGGTCATCAACTCTGCACCTTTGTTATTAATTAATCCTCCAAAACACCTTCTGCCTTAATTATTTGGCTGCAAAACTCTCCATGTGGACAATAGGAAACTACAATTTATGTTCTTAAAGACCAAATCTTCCCCAGAAATGAAAAATTAAAACTTGAGGTCATTTGTGTATCTTTAAAATGGGTTAACACCATCTCTTCCTCTCTTTCTAAGAAGGGTAAAGTTATATGTCTGTCTATGAGGTAGAAAAGGTAGATCACCACAATAAACTTGATGGAAGACAAATTACATTAATAGGTTACATTAGAATTCATCAGACAGTTTTGTTTAAGGTTTGTTTCTGTGTTTGTTTTAAGGTTCATTTGAAATGGAACATCAAGCTATGAACCAGGCAATTCCAATTCCTCTCCTCCACTGACAGGCATTCCAGGCCCTGAGACAGCAGATGATCCTGAGTGAGGCTATGAGAACACCTTACTTCTCTTTAGACCTGGCATGAATTGGTCTAAACAACAGAAATCAGAGAGCTCCTATGCATGACCCTTAATAAATTCATTTCTTTCTCATTCCTATTGATTCTTTGGAGGGAAAAAATGAAATAGCATCCAATTATCTGGAAGAATGCAAGCTAAAGAAAGGAGCAAAGTATCTGCCTGCATTACATATTTGCCTTTTGCCAAGCAAATGAAATCACTATTAGGATAAAGTGTACCTTCACACGTCTCATAGGATTTGAAGAACTTACAATCTCCCTAAATTGTGCACTACTCTTTTGTCCACTAGTAAGGACCTCTTCTAAAATGATTTTAAGCACTTTTCAGAATACAAAGTATTTTTTTAGCACTGAATACCACTTGATTCAAGAAAAAACCAAAATCACCAAATCTCATGCTTATTGTCCCTGAATGCACCAACACTTTTACAGATTTTAAAGTTAAATATGTACCTGAAACATTTTTCTTTTCCAAACATCAGCTGACTCAAGCTTTCTGCAGAATGCTCTCATTATCTTAAGTGAGATAAACATATTAAACTTGTCATCCCTCAATCTTAAGAAACTAAAACCAGCTTTACAGGGGCAATGGTTTTTATTGTAAAAGTGGTAAGAAAACCTTAATAACACCATTTGCTAAGTACCTCACTATTTGACTAAAACTGGAGGCTGTTGCCTTCTGTTAGCTACATAATGTGGAATCAAAAATATCATTATAAACCCCACTAAATACTCTACAACAATTAAACAGAGCTCCTTGTCCATGAGGTCAAGAGTCCACACCCCTGGCTTCGCCTTTCAGGCAAGCATCCTGACCTCTTAAGGTGGCAGAGTTGCCATTCACAAAGCCCTTCAGTGAGCAAGGAGTAGGGCTTTCCGGATACAGCAGCTCATAAAAAAATTTATTAGATATCAGATATAATCAGAAAGGATTTTTTCTGAAAATGTTGAATGTTCTTTCTGACTCTTAGTGAGACAAGACTTACAAGGGCCTCATCAGAAATAGCTGCATTTCTGCCCAATAGTCTACTCCCCTACAACGAAAAGGAACCCTTGCCTCACCCTGCAGGGGTTTCCATGGAATTACAGCATCTATTCAGATACAGCAATGCATGGATTCAGTCCAAGATCTAGAGGGAACGTGTAGAGTAAAAGGAATACACCTCTATCTGTGAATCTGCTCTCTCCAGTGAACTCAGCAGAGGCTTGGAACAAAAGCATACAGCTAATCACTGGCGTTGCTGAACAGAGATGGGAGTGGCTACACAATAAGCATTGTCACTACACTAATGGGCTTGCATGATGCAAAGAAGAGCCTGAGCTGACTGTTGGTAAGAGCTGAGGTTTCTGCAGAAAGTGCCATTGAAACTTAATTACTGAACTCTGCGTCACGAACATAACTCCTTTATAATCAATTTCCAACATAACCAGGAAAAGCCAACTCTCAATTCATAGCCCTAAACAGACAGTTGAAACACTTAAAAGAGGTGGTAATGCACTCTTACTTGCTGAGGCCTCCAGCTTGCGCTTGTGGGGTGGGTCCTCAATGATCCTCTTGAGGTCCCCGCGGTTTTTCAGGTCCACCGGTTTTTCCCAGACAGAAAGCTGCATTGTCGGGTTGAAGAAGAAAACTCGGTCGTCGCCTGTCCAGACCACGCACCTGTATGAGGTGAGACTCATCTCAGTCACCCTCAAAGACACTTAGTTTAAAAGCCATTACCATTTTAGGATAAAATGCCTCCCCCAAAATGCCCTTGTGGCCTGCAATTTGCAGTTTGCAAAGATCATTTCTGTAAAGTATAAATAATAATGGCAAAGCCTGGTTTGACTGGAATGCTTTCTCTTTCTTCTCACGTTGCATCTCATTTGATTAACAGGCAGATGTCCTTAGACTGTTCTACAAGCCAGGACACTGAAGTTCAGAGAAGCCAAGCAGCTCAACAGAATCCCACAAGTTCAGCACTCTCTCTAGCACAAAGTGCCCTGTTTAATGCCGTTTGGTTCAAACCCTGGGGCTCTGGACCACCTCTAGCTCCTGAGATGGGATGGAGTAATTTGAAGACCATTTCCCTAGCTCTCTCTATTTCAGCCTTGATTGGCCAATGAAGATATGCCTAAATCCACAGCTCACCACTCTGGGGCAGCAAAATACTAAATGGGCCATTTTCATCAGCAATTAAGCCTTGGCATCCTGTGCACTTTCAGGTAAGGAAAGAATTAACTTTCATATTTTTATAAATGATAATCTAAAATATCTCAGAGGAATAATATGCAATTTAAAAAACCCTGACCAAACCCTTTACCTGTGGTGAGTTAGCAGAAAAGAGTAAAGAGAAAAAAAGAGAAAGATAAAAGCTCTTTTCTGAAGAATATAGCACAGTGTGTCTGTAATACAGAAATATCCAGATGCATCTGGGTTCTGCACTCAAAGTGTCTGATGAATATAACTATAAAGTCAAATAAGGCTGGCCCCTGGCCTTGTGTTTTGTCCCCTAACTACTCCTTGTATGCTTCAGAGATTTTCTTCTCTGGGCCTCCCATAAGATTTCCCTTAGACAAGATCACTCCTTCCCTCAACCTCTGCTTCCTGCAGTAGTCTAAGAGTCTTTCTAGCTTCACGAGTCTCCTCAGATGTCTCAGATGCATTGGAAATGGATAGGAAAATGTTGCACATACAGAAACCCTCTGGCTATTGTTTTCCTTCCAAGGGAGGACACTTGCACAATAGGGGTAACTGTTAGGAAATATCCAGGACCCAAACAACCTGCTTATACTTCATCTCAGCAAGTCATACACAATGTCTGCAGTTGGCAGGAGTCCATGTCAATGTAGGTCACTGTTTTGCACAGAGAAAATCCCTCCATGCTCAACCCAGCTAGGCACATTCTATGGACTTGACAGAGGGCACAGAGCTGGGCAACTCTAGGAAGATTTGAAGCTTTCCATAAATGAACCTGAGAGTCTATTGGATTTACTCTCTTGGCCAGGCCAGGTTCAAGGTTATGGAAGACAGAATGCTGGCCCCAGAGATGTCCACATCAAATCACTGGAGCCAGTGAAAGTGTCATATTACACAGCAAAGTGACTTGCAAATGTAGTGACTAGGATCTTAAAATGGGGAAATATCTTGTCTTATCTAGGTGGGCCCTACATGCAATCACAGTTATCCATACAAGAGTCAGAGACAGAGATGTAAGGATGGAAACAGAGGTGAAACATATACACAGAGGAAGAGAGTGACTGGAAGATGCCTCACTGGTTTTGAGGATGGAGGAAGAGGCTCTGAGTCCATTAATATGGGGAACCTCTACAAGTTATGAAAGACAAAGACATGTGTTCTCCCCTGGAGCCTCCTGAAGGAACCAGCCCAGCAGACACCCTGATTTTAACCCAGTGAGACCAGCCTATCTGGGCACAAGTGTCCATGTTTTAATGACATTCCAGTTCACACCTTGGATGTTGTAGGGGCACCTTTGGGCCTGGATCCAGGGAGAGAGTAATGTGAAGCAACTTCCTACCCCAACTCCACAGGCTTCTGGAGCCTTCCTGCACTATGGTGTGACCAGAAAAATAACTCCAAGACCAAAGCACCCCATAGCCAGCAGTCCATTTGTACTAGTCTTGCTTGAATTATCTTTCTTCATGACATATTTTATGAACCTACCAGTTCAGTACTATACAAGAAATGCCTAAGTCCATAACACATTTCTTTTTGGGTGTAGAATACTAACTGGATGCTTTTAGCAGCAGTTGCTAATAACTTTTAACCTCTAGAACTGCAGGGAGTCAATGTATATGGACTAGTCAATGACTTCACCTGGCCTTCATTCCTGAGGGCTACGTCCAGCAAGCAGGGTACCACACTCTGCACAGCATGCCCAGCAGCACTGGCTCAACTGCCAGATCATGGAACCTGGAAGATGTCTGACTCACTTGGCCAGCCTGCCCTCCAGGGCTGTCCTTGACCTTCAGGGAACGCTGAGAAGCCCTCACTCCATCATCCCTAAGAAAGCTCTATCCACCTCAATAGAGGAATGAAAACAGGACAGAACAACACTGTGCTTCAATGCCAAGGCCTTGCCTTCATGCTGCCCAGATCTGCACCAGGGGCTTGAAGACTTGGGGAAGGCTGCCTAACTGACAGGTTCTCTGCCTGAGTTGGCAGACCCCTGCTCACAGGCCAGGCTTGCTCACAGGCCAGGCAGGGTTTTGGCCATGAGGTGCTGGGCAGGAGATGATTAACCTCTTATGGGCCTGGAGGGAGGCTGTACCCATCCATGGTACAGAACCTGGCTGGGATAGGAAGTTTTATTGAGGGTAATTATGCTGTGCAGTATATTATGCACGATTCGGCTGTCTCATGAGCTCCCCAGATAGAGTAAGGCCAGCAGGGAGAATAAACTCCTAATAGGAATCACAATCCTTTCCTCTGGATGAAGATTTGCTGGTGGGAGCATCCCCTGGGGACTACACAATTGACCATGTGCAGAACTCTTCTCATCTAGTTTTGTGGGACTAAGGGGACAGGAAAGGGGTTCCAGTCCACAGTCAGGCTGATGGGGCCAGAAGCAAGCTCTCACCCAACCCCACCCCCATGCTTCTTCACTGAGCTGCAGCTAGAAAAATAGCTCCAAACCTAAGCATCCCACAGGCAGCAGTCCATTTGCACCAGTCTTGCTTGAATAATCTTTCTTCATGATGTTTTACTGAACTTGGCTTGAATGGGAAATTCTAAAAGCAGTGCATCTCCGCATATTTGTCCACTGGAGATTGACAGCTTTTATGTGGACCTGCTCAGTCTCCCCGTAAGTAAAAAAAGGTCAGCTTTCTATGGTCCAGCCATAGCAGGCAGGCCAATGGGTCCCACCATGCTATCTGGAGATTATTCAGCCCCAAGGTCCCACAGGCACCCATGACCCCATGGCTTCATCCTAGAGCTGAATGACCTCTCCCTTCCTCTACTGTCTCTGAATGGTGAAAGTCCCTGGCAAGGAGTTGGGTCTTGTAGACCTGTGTCCAATATGTCTTTGCAACATTTGAGAGAATGGATTCACGGTAATGGTCCTTAGTGACCATTTGTAACCATTTAAATAGTGACCATTTAAAATGGTCCATTTATAAAAGAAGGCTGATGCAGTTGTCCTTTCATTCTCAATTTTAACTTCTAGTATTCTTTCCTCTTTTTCCAATTTGGTGCCAGGACACTGGTCATCATGGCCATTGTTGAGCCCCCTCTCTGCAGATCCAGTTTCCCCAGCAGTGGTGCCTACCCCCAGCAACTGGAGACATTGGTTGCTGTGGGCTGGTTCCTTTGGGCAGTCTGCAGGCCCCGTCTAGGGCTGAGAGTACAAAGGGCAGCCAAGTCTTCGGTAGATTGCATGGTGCAGAGTGTGGCTGGGATCAAACCAAGACCATGTCCTTACTGAGCACCTCACTGGCTTCCTTCCTCTTCTTTCTCTCAAGGCACCCTCTTGAGATGCCTTGAGGATTCACAGGCATCTGAATCTTTATCTTGGGCACTGTATCTGGGGATCTCCACTCAAAACAAACCACACGGGGAAGTGGAAGGGGAAGCTTTCCAATAAACAGTATATGGTGTCTCTAACAAGAGGAGCCCCCAAACTGCCAGCTTCCTAAAATACCTATGCCCTGGGCTTTCAAAAACAAGACCCTTCTAGCAAGAGAAATATCATTGCCAGCACAGAGGTAATAATGAGAAATGCTCACTGAATAGTGTCCAGTTAATTAAGATCAGCTGATTTGAGGAATCACAGGGATGTTTAATTCATGCCACAAGTTATTTAAGTTATTTCATGTGAGAATTACTAAGAAGCTGTGGACCTAGGGAATGCAGATGCATTGGGAGACAGTGGAGGTTCAAAGGTCACACAAGGTCAGCTCCAGGGTAATCCTCAGAGGCTACAGTGAGGACGATCTAACCCATACCCTCACACTTGGCTCTGTAATGGATGGTCCTCCCTGGTAACTCACTAGCTTTTCTGAATTCTGAGGTTCTTAGAAGGTTGTAGTCAGAGGGAGGAGGTGGGAAGAGAAGGCTAGGGGGAATAAGAAGCTGAAAATAGATGAGTGACCGCAGCCTGCTGCCCCTGGCTTGGAATGAGCAAAGGCCCTGTTGTGAAGTGCTGAGGTTTAAGGGCAATGGGATTTCAACTGTAAGGCCCAGGTAGTTGCTTGCAGATCTGTCAGGTGAGCACCTGACTGAGTACAAGCCACTGGGTGGGGTAGGTTGGCTTGGAAAGAAATGTATCAGGACTTTAACATCCCCATGAAAACCTCCCTCAATAATAGACTGTATGGTGTCAGAAGGATGCTGGTACATGGCCTCCTCCAGTGCCTCCCAAGTTAGACTGATTCTGTCAGAACAGTGGGAATTACCTGAATTCTTTATATGTCCTGGTTTCCACAGGAAACCAAGCCGTCCCCAAAGGCCACAGCAACTCAAGGGAGCTAGACTTTCTGCACACATCTGCTGGGGACCAATAGCCTCTGTTGGGGTGCACTTTCTTCTCTGAAGAATCAAAGTTGAGGAGACCCTAGAAACAGTGCATGCCAAAGTTCTTCCAATGGAATGCCCTGTTTATCTTCTTGTAATGTCCTGAGGATTTTCCCCTTCTGGCTTTGAAGCTCCACTGTTAAAGA